GAGGCAGGCAAGGAGAGTGGTTAGGGGTGATCAGGCAGGCAGGCGAGTGGTTAGAGGCAATGAGGCAGGCAAGGAGAGTGGTTAGGGGTGATCAGGCAGGCAGGCGAGTGGTTAGAGGCAATGAGGCAGGCAAGGAGAGTGGTTAGGGGTGATCAGGCAGGCAGGCGAGTGGTTAGAGGCAATGAGGCAGGCAAGGAGAGTGGTTAGGGGTGATCAGGCAGGCAGGCGAGTGTTTAGAGGCAATGAGGCAGGCAGGCAGAGTGGTTAGGGGTGATCAGACAGGCAGGCGAGTGTTTAGAGGCAATGAGGCAGGCAGGGAGAGTGGTTAGGGGCAATAGGCAGGTGAGCGGTTAGGAGCCAGCAGTCCCGGATTGTGAGAGGGATGTCCGACTGCTGGTTTAGGCCCGATCCTATGGCCTAAACCAGCAGTCGGACATCCCCTGAGGGGTCCCAGATTGCGAGAGGGTGCTGGCCAGGCTGTGGCTCCCCCGCCTCCCATGTATGAATTTTGTGCACCAGACCTCTAGTTCATTTATAAAAGGAAACTGTCAGCCAAGTGGGAATAGAGGAAACATACCTCAACATAATAAAGGCCACATATGACAAGCCAACATGATACTCAAAGGTGAAAAGCTGAAGCATTTGAATTTTTAAAAATATATATTCTTATTGATTTCACAGCAATCAAACAAGAAAAAGAAATAGAAGGCATCTGAATTGGAAAACTGTCATTAGTTGCAGATGACATGATACAATATATAGAGAACCCTAAAGAGCATCAGCCTGTGAACTGAAGGGTCCCGGGTTTGATTCTAGTTAAGGTCAGGTAACTTGGTTGCAGGCTCCATCCCCAGCTCCGGTCGGGGCACACATGGGAGGCAACCAATGGATGTGTCTCTCTCATATCAATGTTTCTCTCTCTGTTTTTCCCAATCCCTTCCACTCTCTCTGAAAATCAATGGAAAAATGTCTTCAGGTGAGGATTAACAACAACAACAAAAACTATTAGAACTGATAAACGATTTTAGTAAAGTAGCAGGACACAAAATTAATATCCAGGAGTCGGTTGTATTTTTTAAAACTCTTGACCCTTCAGTCCATGGGCCGAGGCTCTAACCACTTAGCAAACTGGCTAGAGCAATCAGTTGCATTAAAAAATTTTTTTAAATTGATTTCAGAGAGGAAGGGAGAGGGAGAGAGAGAGATGGAAACATTAATGATAAGAGAGAATCATTGATTGGCTGCCTCCTGCACACCCCCTTCTGGGGAATCAAGCCCATAACCCAGGCATGTGTCCTGACTGGAATTGAACCATGACCTCCTGGTTCATAGGTTGACGCTCAACCACTGAACCACACTGGCTGGGCCAGTTGCATTTTTATACACTAATAACAAGCTACCAGAAGGGAAATTAAGAAAACAAGCCCTGAGAAAGAACAAAGTAGGTGGGATCTCAATTCCAGATATCAAGCTGTATTACAAAGCCACTGTTCTCAAAACTGCCTGGTACTGGCACAAGAACAGACATATAGATCAATGGAATAGAAAAGAGAGCCCAGAAATCAGCCCCAACCAATACGCTCAATTAATATTTGACAAAGGAGGCAAGAACATACAATGGAGTCAAGACAGTCTCTTCAATAAATGGTGCTGGGAAAATTGGACAGATACATGCAAGAAAATGAAACTAGACCACCAACTTACACCATACACAAAAATAAACTCAAAATGGATAAAGGACTTAAATATACGACAGGAAACCATAAAAATACTAGAAGAATCCAAAGGCAACAAAATCTCAGACATATGCCGAAGCAATTTCTTCACCGATACAGATCCTAGGGCATTGGAAACTAAAGAGAAAATAAACAAATGGGACTACATCAAAATAAAAAGTTTCTGCACAGCAAAAGAAACCATCAACAAAACAACAAGAAAGCCCACTACATGGGAGAACATATTTGCCAACATTATATCTGATAAGGGCCTAATCTCCAACATTTATAGGGAACTCATACAACTTAACAAAAGGAAGATAAACAATCCAATCAAAAAATGGGCAAAGGACCTAAATAGACACCTTTTAAAAGAGGACATTCAGAAAGCCAAGAGACATATGAAAACATGCTCAAAGTCACTAATCATCCGAGAGATGCAAATCAAAACAACAATGAGGTACCATCTCACACCTGTCAGAATGGCTATCATCAACAAATCAACAAACGACAAGTGCTGGAGAGGATGTGGAGAAAAAGGAACACTTGTGCACTGCTGGTGGGAATGCAGACTGGTGCAGCCACTATGGAAGACAGTATGGAGTTTCCTCAAAAAACTGGAAATGGAACTCCCATTTGACCCTGTGATCCCACTTCTAGGAATATATCCCAAGAAACCAAAAACACCAATCAGAAAGGATATATGCACCCCTATGTTCATAGCAGCACAATTCACCATAGCTAAGATTTGGAAACAGCCTAAGTGCCCATCAGTAGATGAATGGATTAGAAAACTGTGGTACATCTACACGATGGAATACTATGCTGCTGTAAAAAAGAAGGAACTCTTACCATTTGCAACAGCATGGATGGAACTGGAGAGCATTATGCTAAGTGAAATAAGCCAGTCAATGAAGGAAAAATACCACATGATCTCACTCATTCATGGATAATAGAGACCATTATAAACTTTTGAACAATAATAGATACAGAGGCAGAGCTGCCTCAAACTGATTGTCAAACTGCAGCGGGAAGGCTGGGGAGGGTTGGGGGGCAGGAGGGAAGGGGGTAAGAGATCAACCGAAGGACTTGTATGCATGCATATAAGCAAAACCAATGGACATAAGACACTGGGGGGTAGGGGAGGCCAGGGGATTGTCAAGGGTGGGGGAAAAAAGGAGACATATGTAATACCCTTTGTAATACTTTAAGCAATAATAAAAAAAAGTATAAAATAAAAAAAATAAAAAGAAAACAAGCCCATTTACAATTGCATCAAAAAGAATAAAATACCTAGAAGTAAATTTAATCAATATGGTAAAAGATCTATACTCAGAAAACAATCAGACATTGAAGAAATAAATTGAAGATACAAGTAAATGGAAGCTTATACTGTGCTCATGGATTAACATCATTAAAATGTGCATATTACCCAAGCAATGTATAGATTCCGTGCAATCCCTATCAAAATAACAATGGTATATTTCACAGAACTAGAACAAATAACCCTAAAATTTACATTGAACCACAAAAGACCCTGAATACCCAAAGCAATATTGAGAAACAAGAAATAAGTTTGAGCTATCATGCTACCTGACCAAACTATACTACAAAGCTGCAATAATCAAAACAGCATGGTACTGGCATAAAAATAGACACATAGATCAATGGAACAGGATAGAGAGCCCAGATATAAACCCACACCTATATTGTCAATAATCTATGACAAAGGAGGCAAGAATATACAATGGGTAAAGGTAGTCTCTTCAATAAGTGGTTTTGAGAAAACTGAAGAGATACACGCAAAGAATGAAAGGGAAACATTTTCTTACACCATCTACAAGAATAAACTCAAGTGGATTAAAGATTTAAATGTAAGATCCCAAGTCATAAAACTCCTAGAAGAAAACATAGGCGTACACTCTGACATTGCTCTTAGTAATGTATTTTTGGATATGTCTTTTTGAGCAAGGGAAACAAAGCAAAAATAAATAAATGGGACTGCATCAAGCTAAAAAGTTTTGCACAGTGAAGGAAACCATTAACAAAATGAAAAGACAACCTACTGAATGGAATAAGATATTAACCAATGATAGATATGTCTGATAAGGAGTTAATACCAAAATATATAAGAAACTCATACAACCTAACACACACACACACACACACACACACACACGATTTGATTTTTAAAAATCGGGCAGAGGACCTGCTAGACATTTCTCCTAAGAGGCCACACAGATGGCCAATAGACATATGAAATGCTCAACATGGCTAATTACCAGGGAAATGCAAATTAAAACCACAGTGAGATATGACTTCATACCTCTCAGAATGGTTATCATCAGTAAATCAACAAACAAGTGTTAGTGAAAAATGGGGAGAAAAGGGAACCCTCACTCAGTGCTGGTGGGATTGTGAATTGGTGCAGCCACTATGAAAAACAGCATGGAATTTATTTTAAAAAATTAAAAATAAAATACCTTCTGACCCAGCAATTCCACTTCCGGTATTTATCCAAAGAAACCCAAAACACCAATTTGAAAACCTGCGTGCGCCCCGGTTCCGTGCAGCAGTTTGCAACAGCCAGCCCAGGGAAGCAGCTGGGCCTGCAGCAGAGATGAGTGGGCCGAGGTGACCCGCATAACGGAATGCCCCGAGGCCAGAGAAAGAAGGGAATCTCGCCATTTGCAGCACCATGGATGGACCTAGTGCTCTGCTCAGTGAAATGTCAAAACAAAAACTGTGTGGTTTCACCTACATGTGGGATCTAAAAACAAAACAAATGGACAAACAAAACAGAAACAAACTCGTGGACACAGAGAACACGTCGATGGCTGCCCGACGGGAGGGGCGAGGGGCCTGAGTGAGGGGAAGGGATGAAGAGGCACACATTTCCAGCGAGAACGCACTCCGGGCTGGGGCACAACGTGGGCATGTGCCAGTGCATTGCAGTCACTAGATACGGGCCCTGTGGCCACTGGACGGGCTGGGGTCACTGCATGAGGACGCGGCTGCCTGGCCACTGCACCGGACGCCTGCGGGTGTAAGACTGGACGCCCACGGTCACTTTTTTGAAATTAGAAAAGCCTCCGACGCTCAGGTCTTTTCTTCTCCTGCTTCCTTCCTGCCCGTGGGCTTCTGGGAACGTCCTGGATTTTCCCTTTTTTCTCCTGTGATGACCTCTATCCATCTGCCTGGGCCTCTGACCTCCCCCTGGAAAACCCTCCTTCGTTAGTCCAGTGCCCGGCCCCCACTCACTCAGGACCCACGCGGGCGGCTTACCTGGACCTGCCTCCAGGCCTCTGTGCTCGGACCCCTGGTACCTCCCCGCGGCGTCTGCTCTGGTCTCGGCCTGCCCGGGCCTCTGCCTCCTGGGCGCTGGGCGGAGGGCCCCGCGGCTCCTGAGAAAGCTCTCACAGAAGTGAGCGCACGGCGTGGGGTGATGTCCGCAGATGGGGGCGCAGCTGATGCAGCCCCGCAGGAGCTGGTCATAGTACCAGCCCTGCTCCTTGTGGCAGCTCAGCGACTCTGGGCGACAGAAACAGTGATGCTACCGGGTGGCGGGGACTGTGGGGACTGTGGGTCAGGCCTCAAAGGGCATCAAAGGTAAAAACATCACAATCTAACTCCCCAGAGCCATTCCATGCGACCGACCGCGTCCTTCTCCGACCGCACTGTTCCAGCCAGGCCACACCCATCCGAGACGTACTTTTATACCCAGTTTTACATGTTTCTGCTTCTCATTGTTCTTTCTTCTTTCCCTAAAGGCTTAGAAGTGCACGCTCTGGTTTCTACACACATAAGCGTTTTCAGGTATCTTAAAATTGAAATGTAGTGATTACATTGTCACTAAAGTTTTTGTGTTTTGGGGGGGAATGTCCTACCATCACATTATTTATTTGTTTGTTTGTTTGTTTTTAGGTTCTGTACATATGTGTTGACTTTATTCTTTTAAAAATTCTAATTTAAAGATTGTATACACATAATTACATAGTTATATGCATTATAGTCATTAAAGTTTTTACTTGCATTTTTCAAGCCTGTGGGAACCACGCCAGGGTCCCCGGATAGTCAAGGCCAATGGGAGCACAGAGGCCTTGTTGTCAGTACCCAGATGGCCCAGGCCGCTCTGAGCATGAGCCTTATCGGGTGTCCAAAGCCAAGACCCCAGGAGCGGGTGCAAGGACACACAGGACGCGGTGCCCTCGGCGGCCGACATGGTGGACGTCCCTGTGGGCAGCTGGCGTCTCCTGTGTCAGTGGTACCACCAGCGTGTGGCTAGGGCCAGTGTGCGGGCACAGCAGAGGCGAGAGCGCTCAGAAGAGAGGCGGCAGCACAGAGGAGGTAGCTCCTATGCGAGCAGGAGACAGGAGAGCTCAGGCGGAGCTGAGAACTGGTGCTGCTACGATGTGAGGCCGAGAGCTCACAGACAGCTCGTGTAGCCACCATGCTACCAGCCCGTGTGCTGGGAGAGGAGTTAGGAGGCGGTTACCATGTGAGCTACAGAGAGCAGCAGGGTGCTGGGCAGGGTGCTGGGCAGGGGAGACCGGAGAAGCTGCTGAGCCGGAGCTCAGGTGCCGCTCTGATGTGAGGCAGTGAGTCTGTAGCAGTGAGCGCTGCTCAGATAGCAGCTGTGGGTGCAGGGGCGGGTGTGGGTGCAGGGGCGGGTGAGGGTGCAGGGGCGGCTGAGGGTGCAGGGCCGGGTGTGGGTGC